TGATATATATGATCTAAGAGATATGAACTTTCAATCTAACGGTTGGATTTACAAAATTCACATTTAATATAAAGTTATTAAGCGATGTAACACTTAGTAAAAGTTACACCGATGTCGTTTGAACCCTCCTCTATATATATATATATATACCAAAGGGGATATTGTCACACCGTATGTTTTAGTAATTGTTGATTTTTTTTAAATGTGTTGTGGTGTTTTTGGGCATTGGTGGTTGATAAACTCTAAAAATTAAAGAATTCTTTTGAGATTAGGTAATTTAGAGAATTTCTCTAGACAGAAGTCTAATTTAACCTTGAGCGGATGATTATATAAGATTTCTTTTAAAACTTAAGTTTAATAAGATCATTTCTTGAGGATCATAGAGAAATAAACTACAGAGAGAAGCTTTAGAGTTATAAGTCCTTTTTCTTTCTAGACCCGAAAGTCATAGTCTAGTAGATAGCTAGTGATTCAAAATTGTTGGAGTTAAGAATCAGATTCGTTGGTGGTAGTGGTACAGAGTTCTCAAAAGTTCCAACCTTCTTCATTCCTTGATTTTCTTAGAGCTAGAGGTAGAGGAAGCTAGACTTTTTTTTTCCTTTTGTTGAATTAATTTGAGTTGTATGTTGATTTACTTCCATAAACTTGTGGTTGTGTTGGTTGAATTTTGATTAAATGATTAAGGTTGGGATTTTGTTTCTTATGAAGCATGTTGAGAGAATTTGATGATTTGATCATTATGTTGGTTGCATGTTGAAGTTGTTGTTGAAAATGAGTTGTTAATATCGTGTAGTTATGTTTTCTTGAGTTGCATGTTGGATTTTCTGAATTTCAAGCATAAATTGAGCCAATTTGTGAATTTGTCATGTGCAAATTTCACTATTGTGTTGAACATGCCTTTGTGGTGCCAAGCATGACTCAAATTAGGGATCCTCTTTCTTGATTACGTTGGATGCAAGATTGGTGGCTTCATTCATGAGGAGAGAAAATAACCCTTGAATTGGTCACATCAAGCATGGCTTGAATAGTGTCAAGTGTGAGATGAGAGAATTTTCTTTGTCTAAATTAGAATTGGGCATCAATGGAGTAGTGTTGGATATGAGGAGAAAGACTCGTCTTTACCTGAAATTGGGTCGAACGTGAGTTTTTCCACTCTAAGTGTGAGAGCAAAGGGGTTCTCTACTTCATTAACACTAGACACAAGTTGAATGGCATCGAGCGTGGGTGAGACATAGTTCTCCCTTTCTTGATGGCGCCAAGTGCAAGGTGTGTAGCATCAGGTGTGGCTTTCCTTGTGAAAATTTGTTGTTTGAATGATTAGATGGCTCCTTTTCTATTATATGCCGTATGTTGATATATAAAGTTGAATATTTATATCTTGATCTTGTATGATGTAAATATAGATGATTAAATGGTTGAAAGTTGAGTTATATATAGTTCATTTTAGTAGTTGTGTTGAGCTTAAAGTACGTTGTTGAAAGTTGTTGATCAACCTAAGACTAGAAGAGAGATTGTCTTTAAAGTTGAATATGTCATTGTGAAAATATTGTTGTGGTGCTCTACGAGTCTAGTTGTTGAAAAATCATTCTTGAAAAGTTGACCCTTGAAGCGAATTGTTGAGTATCCTCTAGGTCCTTAGTTGATGTGGTATGTGGGTCACGTTGAGGCATACTGACTATAAGCGACCACAGTATAGGGGTCATGTCAAACTATATTGATCACAAGTGAACACTATTAATCCATATGTGAGCAAGGCCGAGACATACTAAAGTAACCAAATTAAAGTAAGGTACAAGGTCGAGAGGCCAAAATCCCTAACCATGTACTGGAAAGGCATAGTATTTGGAGGATACTCGGTAGGATAATTCCATAAGTGGTTTAGTTATGCAAGCTAATATCATGGTAAACTCACACCTAAGTTTTTCTACCTTAACAAGAATACTATACTTTTTAGTTTAAGTGATGACATCTGAGAAATTATGTTGTTAAGGATTTGTATTCTAATTTGTTGTTGATCTAATTAGATTGAAAAGATCAGATTGTTGGTTCGATAAAGTCAAGCCACTTACACTACTCACCTGTATTGTAGGAGATCTTCTAGTTAAAATATGTGACAACTCATATAGTGAATTTGTTGCTTATATGCGATTGTATGTTGAGTTTTGTGAAGAATATAAAATGATATGATGTTGTTCAAGTTGAATGGTGTGTTGAGCTTGTATTTTGTTGATGTTCATGTTGTTCACATACTATGTTGGATTGTGTTGGGTTGTAGTGTTATGTTATCCTAATTGATTATCATGTCGTATTATGTTTATAAGTTGTAATATATGCTATGTTGAAACATATTAAATTGTGTATGTTAAGAGTATAGTAGTTCCAATTCTATGCTTATATTGTTAATTATTTTAAATACTATCTAGTTTACTCTTACATATTTTCTTAAACATAGATTGTAATAATTATATTTAGTATAAAAGTAGCAGGGATAGGATATCGTTGGAGCTCGTTTTGAGGTCATGCTAAGTGATAACGGTGTGAGCCTCTAAATAATTATATTTTTTTTCTTTTTACTGCTCATAATCAAATTGTTAAGTGTAGGGATCAAACATATCGTTATAAATATATTCTTACTTAAAAAATTGTAGGTCGGGATCGAGAAGAAACTTAAAAGCCAAGAAAGCATATACAAATTTCTTACAATCAAAATATAAGTTTATTCAGTAATAATTTCAACCGCAGTGAATCTAAATGGATGTAAAACATTACGTGCATGTATAGGAGACTACAAATTGTAGACTCTCAAAAAGGAGACTAAAAAGATTTCCCACCAATGGAAGTTGATATAAAGAATTTTCTATAAAACGCAAGACAATTGTAAAGTGCAACGGGCCTTTAGCTGGTTTGAAACCAAAGTGCCAGCAAGGTGAGAAAGGGGTAAGGAATAAATTCTAATTATGTTTATTTTCCTTTGATAAGTAATAAAAAAAATTTCAATTTGTCTTTCATCTTTAAATAGTTTCTTAACTATTTAATAAAATATCAGTGTAATAACTTTTAAAACATATACTCTATCCGATAATAAGGGTTGTCTTAATTTTTTTTTTACATAAAACAAAAAATAATAATAAACAAATAAAAATGAACAATAATTTTATAAAATTAACTATGTTATTATTTTTCTTTATTAGAAAAGAAAATTAATATTTTTAGAAGTGTAAATGAAAAAAAAATTAATATTACATTAAAAAATTAAAAAATAATTACTTTTGAAACTTATTTTTTCTTCTTATACAATATTTCATCATGTTATATATATATATATATATATATATATA